TGTCTGTAATCTCCTGACTAGGGTTGTCTGTAGTCTCCTGACTAGGGGTGTCTGTAATCTCCTGACTAGGGTTGTCTGTAGTCTCCTGACCAGGGTGTCTGTAGTCTCCTGACTAGACTTGTCTGTAGTCTCCTGACTAGGGTTGTCTGTAGTCTCCTGACTAGGGGTGTCTGTAATCTCCTGACTAGGGTTGTCTGTAGTCTCCTGACCAGGGTGTCTGTAGTCTCCTGAGTAGACTTGTCTGTAGTCTCCTGACTAGGGTTGTCTGTAATCTTCTGACTAGGGTTGTCTGTAGTCTCCTGACCAGGGTGTCTGTAGTCTCCTGAGTAGACTTGTCTGTAGTCTCCTGACTAGGGCTGTCTGTAGTCTCCTGACTAGGGTTGTCTGTAGTCTCCTGACAGGTGTTTTATGTCTTTTACTGACAAGATTTGTTTGTTGTCTCCCAATAGTTTGCCAATTAATTTTAGAATAGTGTTTCCCTGGCATGCCTCTTGACTAGTTTGTCATATCTGTAGGGTTGTAAGCCTGATGGGTTACCTGCCTAGCATACTGACCAGGATTTCTGTGTAGCCTCAAACATTTGTCAAGATTTATAACCTCCAACTTTTATGAATCAATCAACTTTCATTAAAATGATAACAAATTATATTGATAATGGAGAAGATATTTAATTTTGATTGAAGACATAGCTGGGTCCTTGCACATCTTCAGAGATAACTCAATCAAAATGATGTGTACAAAGCCAAACTAATGTCCCAAATGTAAAATATCAATGCAGTGAAACACTAGACAAAACATATTTCCCCTCTGTTTGTATTTGAAAACCACAAAAGAAATTTAACATCGCTGCTACTCATAAAATGGAATATAAAATGTTTTATTATAAACTTGTTTAAGAAAACTAACAAGACTTTGTGAGCTGGCATACAGGACCTGGTAATTACTTAAATTTTCATTAGAGTGATGACAGTATTGTGCTTTTTACCCATCTTCATTAAGAAATGTAATCAGATTTGTTGGGTTGTTTTTGCTGGATGGTAATAGTTTTCATGCTCATGCTCATTTTAGTTTAAATTATCATTATTGTGTCATGTTTGGAAAGAGCTAGTTTGTCCATTTATCTAACTGATTTGAGGCCATTGACATGTGCAGTGTTCAAAGAGTTGTAATATGATTTTGAAAAATGGGTTTTATTTGAAACTCTACAATCCCAAAAACAGTGGGACCTATAATACCAGACAGCCAGTAGAGAATCCCGTCTGAATCAGGTATGGTATTGGTGAGGATAGAAAATTTAACACCTAAGCGTTGAAAAAGGTGAAAATTTAACTGCAGCAAAAATGTTGCCGTATACAGTAGCTGTGACTGGTTTTTGTTTAGAATTTGATAAAACCTTATTGTGATCGTCTCCCCTAGATTTTACTCTCTAAGAGAGATGTATGAGACGTTATTGTGATCGTCTCCCCTAGATTTTACTCTCTACGAGAGATGTATGAGACGTTATTGTGATTGTCTACCTTAGGTTTGACTCTTTAAGAGAGATGTATTAGACGTTATTGTGATTGTCTCCCTTAGGTTTGCCTCTTTAAGAGAGATGTATGAGACGTTATTGTGATTTTCTCCCTTAGGTTTGACTCTTTAAGAGAGATGTATGAGACGTTATTGTGATCGTCTCCCCTAGATTTTACTCTCTAAGAGAGATGTATGAGACCTTATTGTGATCGTCTCCCCTAGATTTTACTCTCTAAGAGAGATGTATGAGCCGTTATTGTGATCGTCTCCCCTAGATTTTCCTCTCTAAGAGAGATGTATGAGACGTTATTGTGATCGTCTCCCCTAGATTTTACTCTCTAAGAGAGATGTATGAGACCTTATTGTGATCGTCTCCCCTAGATTTTACTCTCTAAGAGAGATGTAGGAGACGTTATTGTGATTGTCTCCCTTAGGTTTGCCTCTTTAAGAGAGATGTATGAGACGTTATTGTTATTGTCTCCCTTAGGTTTGACTCTCTAAGAGAGATGTATGAGACGTTACCAGAGAGACCCTTGTCACCTCTTACATCGGAGAATTCCTTAGATGGTCAGCGGAAGACTCGCAGGTCAGTATAATGTACCAAATAAGACCAGTCACCTGATAAACACAAAACATTTCCTGTGCTGAACACATTTATCTTTTATCCTCAGTGTTTCAAGATTTCTTCTTTATTTTTTGTTTTGTTTTTGTTTCATAATTTTGTTTTTTAAATTACAGTCGAGCAAGAATTCAAGATGCCATGAAGTTTGCTGCTGACAATTTTTGAAGAAATCAGTTGATCATGCTTGATAATAGAAGATATGGACAAGAGTGAACTAGATTTTGTCATTTCAAATTAATATTCTATTTATTAAAATAAGCGAAGTCACAGATATTGAATGCCTTGTATAAAACATCTTGCTGACAGGATATATGTTTTTCACAGTATTATGTTTGTAATGAGTGAACTATTTGTGTAGATATGCACGTTGTCAGGCATAACTTATTTTTCGTTACATCTCTGTTGGAGATGGCGTTATAGCATGTACTGTACACTATGCTGTCTTGTTGCACCAGAGTATTCATGATAATGTGGTAAGAGAATGTTAATTTGGACCAAAGTTTTATATATGATTCCTTTTCGTGCAAATTGTTCTTGTTACTTTTGTGCTAATTAGTCTCCTGTTAACAACATGTTTGAATTCTGTTCAAGCTTCTTCAAAAATTCACATTTGATAGGTACGGATAGGTCTGATGAGAAGTATAAGGAGAAGTAGGGTGGGAAGTGTAAGAGCAGGACTCTTGGGAAGTGTAAGAGCAGGTGATAAGTGTAAGAGCAGATTTGATGAAAAAAAGAGTTAAGATAGATAAGAAGAGAAAACTTGAGGATCAGCCAGAACTGTAATGACATTTACAGCAAGAAAAGAACAGTGAAAATAAGTGTGGTGAGAATTGTAAACACAGGTGAGAATTGTAAACACAGATTAAAAGTGAAAGGACATGAACAATGAGAAATTTCAGGAAAGTGTATTGTCAGGTGAGAACTGTAAGGACAGGTGAGGTGAGAAGTGTAAAGACAGGTGAGGTTAGAAGTGTATGGACAGGTGAAAAGTGTAANTCACAGATATTGAATGCCTTGTATAAAACATCTTGCTGACAGGATATATGTTTTTCACAGTATTATGTTTGTAATGAGTGAACTATTTGTGTAGATATGCACGTTGTCAGGCATAACTTATTTTTCGTTACATCTCTGTTGGAGATGGCGTTATAGCATGTACTGTACACTATGCTGTCTTGTTGCACCAGAGTATTCATGATAATGTGGTAAGAGAATGTTAATTTGGACCAAAGTTTTATATATGATTCCTTTTCGTGCAAATTGTTCTTGTTACTTTTGTGCTAATTAGTCTCCTGTTAACAACATGTTTGAATTCTGTTCAAGCTTCTTCAAAAATTCACATTTGATAGGTACGGATAGGTCTGATGAGAAGTATAAGGAGAAGTAGGGTGGGAAGTGTAAGAGCAGGACTCTTGGGAAGTGTAAGAGCAGGTGATAAGTGTAAGAGCAGATTTGATGAAAAAAAGAGTTAAGATAGATAAGAAGAGAAAACTTGAGGATCAGCCAGAACTGTAATGACATTTACAGCAAGAAAAGAACAGTGAAAATAAGTGTGGTGAGAATTGTAAACACAGGTGAGAATTGTAAACACAGATTAAAAGTGAAAGGACATGAACAATGAGAAATTTCAGGAAAGTGTATTGTCAGGTGAGAACTGTAAGGACAGGTGAGGTGAGAAGTGTAAAGACAGGTGAGGTTAGAAGTGTATGGACAGGTGAAAAGTGTAAGGACAGGTGAGAAGTGTAAGGACAGGTGAGGTGAGAACTGTAAAGACAGGTGAGGTTAGAAGTGTAAGGACTGGTGAGAAATGTAAGGACAGGTGAAAGTGTAAGGACATGTGAGGTGAGAAGTGTAAGGACATGTGAGAAGTGTAAGGACAGGTGAGAAGTGTAAGGACAGGTGAAGTGAGAAGTGTAAGGACATGTGAGAAGTGTATGGACAAGTGAGGTGAGAAATGTAAGGACAGGTGAGAAGTGTAAGGGCATATACAAAGTGTATGGACAGATTTGGTGGGAAGTGTAAGAGCATGTGAGAAGTGTATGGTCAGGTGAGGTGAGAAGTGTTAAAGACAGGTGAGAAGTGTAAGGACATATAAAAAGTGTATGGACAGATTTGGCGAGAAGTGTAAGAACAGGTGAGAAGTGTAAGAATAGTCTAGAAGTGTAAGGACAGGTGAGAAGTGTAAGGACAGGTTAAGTGAGAAGTGTAAGGACATGTCAGAAGTGTAAGGACAGGTGAGAAGTGTAAGGACAGGTTAAGTGAGAAGTGTAAGGACATGTGAGAAGTGTAAGGACAGGTGAGAAGTGTAAGGACAGGTGAGAAGTGTAAGGACAAGTGAAAAGGGAAAGGACATGAACATTGAGAAATTTCAGGAAAGTGTATTGTCAGGTGAGAAGTGTAAGGACAGGTGAGGTGAGAAGTGTAAGGACATGTGAGAAGTGTAAGGACATGTGAGAAGTGTAAGGACAAGTGAGGTGAGAAATGTTAGGACAGGTGAGGTTAGAAGTGTAAAGACAGGTGAGGTTAGAAGTGTATGGACAGGTGAGAAGTGAAAGGACAGGTGAGGTGAGAACTGTAAAGACAGGTGAGGGTAGAAGTGTAGGAAAAGGTGAGAAGTGTATTGTCAGGTGAGAAGTGTAAGGACAGGTGTGGTGAGAAGTGTAAAGACAGGTGAGGTTAGAACTGTATGGACAGGTGAGAAGTGTAAGGACAGGTGAGGTGAGAACTATAAAGACAGGTGAGGTTAGAAGTGTACGGACAGGTGAGAAGTGTAAGGACATGTGAGAAGTGTAAGGACATGTGAGAAGTGTAAGGACATGTGAGGTGAGAAGTGTAAGGATATGTGAGAAGTGTAAGGACATATCAGAAGTGTAAGGACAGGTGAGAAGTGTAAGGACATGTGAGAAGGGTAAGGACATGTGAGAAGTGTAAGGACAAGTGAGGTGAAATGTAAGGACAAGTGAGAAGTGTAAGGGCATATACAAAGTGTATGGACGGATTTGGTGGGAAGTGTAAGAACATGTGATAAGTGTATGGTCGGGTGAGGTGAGAAGTGTAAAAGACAGGTGAGAAGTGAAAGGACATATAAAAAGAGTATGGACAGATTTGGCGAGAAATGGAAGAATAGGTGAGAATTGTAAGAATAGTCTAGAAGTGTAAGGACAGGAGAGAAGTGTAAGGACATATAAAAAGTGTATGGACAGATTTGGCGAGAAATGTAAGAACAGGTGAGAATTGTAAGAATAGTCTAGAAGTGTAAGGACAGGTGAGAAGTGTAAGGACAGATGAGAAGTGTAAGGACAGTTGAGAAGTGTAAGGACAGGTGAGAAGTGTAAGGACATATGAGAAGTGTAAGGACAGGTGAGAAGTGTAAGGACAGGTGAAGCGAGAAGTGTAAGGACAGGTGAGAAGTGTAAGGACAAGTGAGGTGAGAAATGTAAGGACAGGTGAGAAGTGTAAGGGCATATACAAAGTGTATGGACAGATTTGGTGGGAAGTGTAAGAACATGTGAGAAGTGTATGGTCAGGTGAGATGAGAAGTGTTAAAGACAGGTGAGAAGTGTAAGGACATATAAAAAGTGTATGGACAGATTTGGCGAGAACTGTAAGAACAGGTGAGAAGTGTAAGAATTGTCTAGAAGTGTAAGGACAGGTGAGAAGTGTAAGAATAGTCGAGAAGTGTAAGGACAGGTGAGAAGTGTAAGGATAGATGAGAAGTGTAAGGACAGTTGAGAAGTGTAAGGACATGTGAGAAGTGTAAGGACAGGTGAGAAGTTTACGGACAGATTTGGTGAGAAGTGTAAGAACTGGTGAGATGTGTATGGACACGGTGATGTGAGAAGTGTAAGAACAGTTGGGAAGTGAATGGACAGGTGAGATGAGAAGTGTGAGGACAGGTGAAAAGTTTATGGACAGGTGAGGTGAGATGTGATAAAGGATTGTACGATGAGAAGTATAAGGACAGGTGAGAAGTGTAAGAACAGGTGAGAAGTGTAAGCACCGGTGAGATGTTTATGGACAGGTGAGGTGAGATGTGATAAAGGATTGTACGATGAGAAGTAGAAGGACAGGTGAGAAGTGTATGGACATATTTGGTGAAAATTTAAGGACAGTTACAGTTTTTGAAACTTAACACCAAGATGTTACATACCTTTGACCTATTCACCAAGTTACATTTCATGCAGAACAACAAATTATCAGAAAACCTTTGATTAAACAGTTTCTATATTACTCTTCATTTTTAGTGTTCCATTTGTACACTGAATTAATCTACAGAAACTCTGTATCTCATGTTCAAAGTCAGCAGATGCCAACAAACGATAACTAGGAGTACAACAAACTATAGATAGGAGTACATGTACAACAAACTATAGATAGGAATACATGTACAACAAACTATAGATAGGAGTACATGAACAACAAACTATAGATAGGAGTACATGTACAACAAACTATAGATAGGAGTAGATGTACAACAAACTATAGATAGGAGAACCTGTACAACATCTATAGATAGGAGTATATGTAGAACACACTATAGATAGGAGTACATGTATAACAAACTATAGATAGGAGAACATGTACAACAAAAGATAAATAGGAGTACATGTACAACACACTATAGATAGGAGTATATGTACAAGAACTATAGATATGAGTGCATGTACAACAACTATAGATAGGAGTATATGTACAACAAGTATAGATAGGAGTATATGTACAACAAGTATAGATAGGAGTACATGTACAACATCTATAGATAGGAGTATATGTACAACTATAGATATCAGTATATGTACAACATCTAAAGATAAGAGTACATGTACAACAAACTATAGAGAGTAGGACATGTACAACAAACGATAGATAGGAATACATGTACAACAAACTATAGATAGTAGTACAACAAACGATAAATAGGATTGCAACAGAAGATAAATAGGAGTACAACAAACGATAAGTAGGAGTACAACAAACGATAAATAGGAGGACGATTAATAGGCGTACAACACACGATAAAAAGGAGTACAACAGACGATTAATAGGCGTACAGCACACGATAAAAAGGAGTACAACTGACGATAAATAGGAGTACAAATATGTACAACACACTATAGATAGGAGTATATGTACAAGAACTATAGATATGAGTGCATGTACAACAACTATAGATAGGAGGATATGTACAACAACTATAGAGAGGAGTACATGTACAACATCTAAAGATAGGAGTACATGTACAACAACTACAGATAGGAGTACATGTACAACAAACTAGATAGGAGTACATTTACAACAAACTATTAATAGGAGTACATGTACAACAAACTAGAGATAGGAGTACAACAAACGATAAATAGGATTACAACAGACGATAAATAGGAGTACAGCAGACAATAAAAAGGAGTACAACAGACGATAAATTGGAGTACAACAAACAATAAATAGGAGGAGGATAGGAGTCCAACAGACGATAAATAGGAGTACAACAGACAATAAATAGGAGTACAACAGACGATAAATGGGAGGACGATTAATAGGAGTACAACATAATCTACAGAAACTCTGTATCTCATGTTCAAAGCAAGCAGAAGACGGCATACGATACCTAGGAGTACAACAAACTATAGATAGGAGTACTTGTACAACATCTATAGATAGGAGTACATGTACAACATCTATAGATAGGAGTACGCGTACAACAACTATAGATAGGAGTATATATACAACACACTATAGATAGGAGTACATGTATAACAAACTATAGATAGGAGAACATGTACAACAAACGATAAATATGAGTACATGTACAACACACTATAGATAGAGATAGGAGTACATGTACAACAACTATATATAGGAGTATATGTACAACAACTATAAATAGGAGTATATGTACAACAACTATAGGTAGGAGTATATGTACAACAACTATAGGTAGGAGTATATGTACAACAACTATAGATAGGAGTTCATGTACAACAAACTATAGATAGGAATACATGTACAACAAACTATAGATAGTAGTACAACAAACGATAAATAGGATTACAACAGACGATAAATAGGAGTACAACAGACAATAAATAGGAGTACAACAGACGATAAATAGGAGTACAACAAACAATAAATAGGAGGAGGATAGGAGTCCAACAGACGATAAATAGGAGTACAACAAACAATAGATAGAAAGACGATTAATAGGAGTACAACAGACGATTAATAGGCGTACAGCACACGATAAAAAGGAGTACAACTGACGATAAATAGGAGTACAACAAACAATAAATAGGAGGAGGATAGGAGATAGGAGTATATGTACAACAACTATAGAGAGGAGTACATGTACAACATCTAAAGATAGGAGTACATGTACAACAACTATTGATAGGAGTACATGTACAACAAACTAGATAGTAGTACATGTACATCAAACTATAGATAGGAGTACATATACAACAAACTATAGATAGGAGTACTTGTACAACATCTATAGATAGGAGTATATGTAGAACACACTATAGATAGGAGTACATGTACAATAAACTATAGATAGGAGTATATATACAACAACTATAGATAGGAGTACAACAAACGATAAAGAGGATTACAACAGAAGATAAATAGGAGTACAACAAACGATAAAAAGGAGTACAACAAACGATAAATAGGAGGACGATTAATAGTACAACACACGATAAAAAGGAGTACAACAGACGTTAAATATAAGAACAACAGACAAAAATAGGAGTACAAAAACGATAAAAAGAAGTACAACAAACGATAAGTAGGAGTACAACAAACGATAAATAGGAGGACGATTAATAGGCGTACAACACACGATAAAAAGGAGTACAACAGACGATTAATAGGCGTACAGCACACGATAAAAAGGAGTACAACTGACGATAAATAGGAGTACAACAAACAATAAATAGGAGGAGGATAGGAGATAGGAGTATATGTACAACAACTATAGAGAGGAGTATATGTACAACATCTAAAGACAGGAGTACATGTACAACAAACTATAGATATGAGTATATGTACAACATCTAAAGATAAGAGTACATGTACAACAAACTATAGATAGGAATACATGTACAACATCTATAGTTAGGAGTATATGTACAACACACTATAGATGGGAGTACATGTACAACAAACTATAGATAGTAGTACAACAAACGATAAATAGGATTACAACAGACGATAAATAGGAGTACAGCAGACAATAAATAGGAGTACAATAGACGATAAATAGGAGTACAACAAACAATAGATAGAAGGACGATTAATAGGAGTACAACAGACGATTAATAGGCGTACAGCACACGATAAAAAGGAGTACAACTGACGATAAATAGGAGTACAACAAACAATAGATAGAAGGACGATTAATAGGAGTACAACAGACGATTAATAGGCGTACAGCACACGATAAAAAGGAGTACAACTGACGATAAATAGGAGTACAAATATGTACAACACACTATAGATAGGAGTATATGTACAACAACTATAAATAGGAGTATATGTACAACAACTATAAATAGGAGTATATGTACAACAAACTATAGATAGGAGAACATGTACAACAAACGATAAATATGAGTACATGTACAACACACTATAGATAGAGATAGGAGTACATGTACAACAACTATATATAGGAGTATATGTACAACAAACTATAGATAGGGGTACATGTACAACAAACTATAGATAGGAGAACATGTACAACAAACGATAAATAGGAGTACATGTACAACACACTATAGATAGGAGTACATGTACAACAAACTATAGATAGGAGTACAACAAACGATAAATAGGATTACAACAGACGATAAATAGGAGTACAACAAACGATAAGTAGGAGTACAACAAACGATAAATAGGAGGACGATTAATAGTACAACACACGATAAAAAGGAGTACAACAGACGATAAATAGGAGTACAACAAACAATAGATAGAAAGACGATTAATAGGAGTACAACAGACGATTAATAGGAGTACAACACACGATAAAAAGGAGTACAACAGACGATTAATAGGCGTACAGCACACGATAAAAAGGAGTACAACTGACGATAAATAGGAGTACAACAAACAATAGATAGGAGGACGATTAATAGGAGTACAACAGACGATAAAAAGGAGTACAACACACGATAAAAAGGAGTACAACAGACGATAAATATGATTACAACAGACAAAAATAGGAGTACAAAAACGATAAAAAGAAGTACAACAAACGATAAGTAGGAGTACAACAAACGATAAATAGGAGGACGATTAATAGGAGTACAACACACGATAAAAAGGAGTACAACAGACGATAAATAGGAGTACAACAAACAATAGATAGAAGGACGATTAATAGGAGTACAACAGACGATTAATAGGAGTACAACAAGCGATAAAAATGAGTACAACAGACGATGAATAGGAGTACAACAAACAATAAAAAGGAGTACAACACACGATAAAAAGGAGTGCAACGGACGATAAATATGAGTACAACAGACAAAAGTAGGAGTACAAAAACGATAAAAAGGAGTACAACAAACGATAAGTAGGAGTACAACAAACGATAAATAGGAGGACGATTAATAGGAGTACAACACACGATAAAAAGGAGTACAACAGACGATAAATAGGAATACAACAGACGATAAATAGGAGTACAACAGACGATAAATAGGAGTACAACAAACAATAGATAGAAGGACGATTAATAGGAGTACAACAGACGATTAATAGGAGTACAACAAGCGATAAAAATGAGTACAACAGACGATGAATAGGAGTACAACAAACAATAAAAAGGAGTACAACAAACGATAAATAGGTTTACAACAAACGATAAATAGGAGTACATTAGACGATAAATAGGAGTACAACAAACAATAAATAGGAGAACGATTAATAGGAGTGCAACATACAATGAATAGGAGTACAACAGACGATAAATAGGAGTACAGCAGACAATAAATAGGAGAATCTATAGATAGGAGTACAACAAATGATAAATTGGAGTACAACAGGCGATAAAAAGGAGGACAACAGACGATAAATAGGCGTACGACAGACAATAAATAGGAGAACGATTAATAGGAGTACAATAGACGATAAATAGGAATACAACAGACGATAAATAGGCGTACGACAGACAATAAATAGGAGAATCTATAGATAGGAGTACATGTACAACAACTATAAAT